TGCACATCGGATGTGGCATATGCTTGCAGATCGCATATGCTTGCAGATCGCATATGCTTGCAGATCACATATGATTGCACATCGCATGTGGCATATGCTTGCATATGAAGCATTTGTCCATATGAAACACAGGTGCATATGTGCATATGTGCATATGTGCATATGAAGCATATGTGCATATGTGCATATGTGCATATGTGCATATGTGCATATGTGCATATGTGCATATGTGCATATGTGCATATGTGCATATGTGCATATGTGCATATGTGCATATGTGCATCTGAAGCATATTTGCATTTGTGCATATGTGCATATGAAGCATATGAAGCATATGAAGCTGCACATCGCATGTGGCATATGCTTGCATATGAAGCATTTGTGCATATGAAGCACATGTGCGCATGTGCATATGAAGCATAGGTGCATTTGTGCATATGTGCATATGAAGCATGTATCAAGCGTGTACGGCATTACTGTTATGTAACAGAAGACTGCATCTGCTTGCAGATTGCATATGCTTGCAGATCGCATAGGCTTGCATATCGCATATGCTTGCACATCGAATGTGGCATACGCTTGCAGATTGCATATGCTTGCAGATCGCATATGCTTGCAGATCGCATCTGGCATATGCTTGCAGATCGCATCTGGCATATGCTTGCAGATCGCATATGCTTGCAGATCGCATATGCTTGCAGATCGCATATGCTTGCATATCGCATATGCTTGCACATCGAATGTGGCATATGCTTGCAGATCGCATCTGGCATATGCTTGCAGATCGCATATGCTTGCAGATCGTATATGCTTGCAGGTCGCATATGCTTGCACATCGAATGTAGCATATGCTTGCAGATCGCATAGGCTTGCATATCACATATGCTTGCACATCGAATGTGGCATATGCTTGCAGATCGCATAGGCTTGCATATCGCATATGCTTGCACATCGAATGTGGCATATGCTTGCAGATCGCATCTGACATATGCTTGCAGATCGCATATGCTTGCAGATCGTATATGGTTGCACATCGAGCATATGCTTGCACATCGAATCTGGCATATGCTTGCAGATCGCATATGCTTGCAGATCGTATATGCTTGCAGGTCGCATATGCTTGCACATCGAATGTAGCATATGCTTGCAGATCGCATAGGCTTGCATATCACATATGCTTGCACATCGAATGTGGCATATGCTTGCAGATCGCATAGGCTTGCATATCGCATATGCTTGCACATCGAATGTGGCATATGCTTGCAGATCGCATCTGACATATGCTTGCAGATCGCATATGCTTGCAGATCGTATATGGTTGCAGATCGCATATGCTTGCACATCGAATGTGGCATATGCTTGCATATCGCATAGGCTTGCATATCACATATGCTTGCACATCGAATGTGGCATATGCTTGCAGATCGCATAGGCTTGCATATCGCATATGCTTGCACATCGAATGTGGCATATGCTTGCAGATCGCATCTGACATATGCTTGCAGATCGCATATGCTTGCAGATCGTATATGGTTGCAGATCGCATATGCTTGCACATCGAATGTGGCATATGCTTGCATATCGCATATGCTTGCATATCGCATATGTTTGCACATCGAATGTGGCATATGCTTGCAGATCGCATCTGGCATATGCTTGCAGATCGCATCTGGCATATGCTTGCAGATCGCATATGCTTGCAGATCGCATATGCTTGCACATCGGATGTGGCATATGCTTGCAGATCGCATACGCTTGCAGATCGCATATGCTTGCAGATCGCATATGCTTGCAGATCACATATGATTGCACATCGCATGTGGCATATGCTTGCATATGAAGCATTTGTGCATATGAAACACATGTGCGCATGTGCATATGAAGCATATGTGCATATGTGCATATGTGCATATGAAGCGTGTATCAAGCGTGTACGGCATTACTGTTATGTAACAGAAGACTGCATCTGCTTGCAGATTGCATATGCTTGCAGATCGCATAGGCTTGCATATCGCATATGCTTGCACATCGAATGCAGCATATGCTGCAGATTGCATATGCTTGCAGATCGCATATGCTTGCAGATCGCATATGCTTGCACATCGAATGTGGCATATGCTTGCAGGTCGCATCTGGCATATGATTGCAGATCGCATATGCTTGCAGATCGTATATGCTTGCAGATTGCGCGTTGCACGGCGCTGTCACAAGCGCGTACGGCATAGCATAGTGCGTACGGCATAGCGAAGCATAGCATAGCGCGTACGGCATATCACAGCATAGCATAGATCGTATATGCTTGCAGATCGCATATGCTTGCACATGGAATGTGGCATATGCTTGCAGATCGCATCTGGCATATGATTGCAGATCGCATATGCTTGCAGATCGCATATGCTTGCAGATCGTATATGCTTGCAGATCGCGCGTTGCACGGCGCTGCCGCAAGCGTGTACGGCATAGCATAGCGCGTACGGCATAGCGAAGCATAGCATGGCGCGTACGGCATATCACAGCATAGCATAGATCGTATATGCTTGCAGATCGCATATGCTTGCACATCGAATGTGGCATATGCTTGCAGATCGCATCTGGCATATGATTGCAGATCGCATATGCTTGCAGATCGCATATGCTTGCAGATCGCATATGCTTGCAGATTGCGCGTTGCACGGTGCTGTCGCAAGCGCGTACGGCATAGCACAGCGCGTACGGCATAGCGTAGCATAGCATAGCGCGTACGACATAGCACAGCATAGCATAGATCGTATATGCTTGCAGATCGCATATGCTTGCACATGGAATGTGGCATATGCTTGCAGATCGCATCTGGCATATGATTGCAGATCGCATATGCTTGCAGATCGCATATGCCTGCAGATCGTATATGCTTGCAGATTGCGTGTTGCACGGCGCTGTCGCAAGCGCGTACGGCATAGCATAGCGCGTACGGCATAGCGTAGCATAGCATAGCGCGTACGGCATATCACAGCATAGCATAGATCGTATATGCTTGCAGATCGCATCTGCTTGCACATCGAATGTGGCATATGCTTGCAGATCGCATCTGGCATATGATTGCAGATCGCATATGCTTGCAGATCGCATATGCTTGCACATGGAATGTGGCATATGCTTGCAGATCGCATCTGGCATATGCTTGCAGATCGCATCTGGCATATGCTTGCAGATCGCATATGCTTGCAGATGACATATGCTTGCAGATCGTATATGCTTGCAGATCACATATGCTTGCAGATCGCATATGCTTGCAGATCACATATGATTGCACAGCGCATGTGGCATATGCTTGCATATGAAGCAATTGTGCATATGAAACACATGTGCATATGTGCATATGAAGCATATGTGCACATGTGCATATGTGCATATGTGCATATGTGCATATGAAGCATATGAAGCATATGAAGCATATGAAGCATACGAAGAAAAAAAAAGAAAAAAAAGTGCGCAAAGAAAAGGACGCGCGCGCGCCGGGGATTGAACCTGCGCGGGGTGGACAGATGGACAGACGGACGGACAGCGAATCGGCCTAAGGCCTCCGCTAGACTACTAGAGCGCGCTGTTCGCGCGAGTGGGCCGTAGCTCCGTAGCATAGCGTAGCATAGCGTAGCATAGCGTAGCATAGCGTAGCATAGCGTAGCATAGCGTAGCATAGCGTAGCATAGCGTAGCATAGCGTAGCATAGCGTAGCATAGCGTAGCATAGCGTAGCATAGCGTAGCATAGCGTAGCATAGCGTAGCATAGCGTAGCATAGCGTAGCGTAGCGTAGCGTAGCGTAGCGTAGCATAGCGTAGCATAGCGTAGCGTAGCGTAGCGTAGCGTAGCGTAGCATAGCGTAGCATAGCGTAGCATAGCATAGCGTAGCATAGCGTAGCATTGCATAGCTATGATCGCATATGCTTCATATCGCATATGCTTGCACATCGAATGCGGTATATGCTTGCAGATTGCATATGCTTGCAGATCGCATATGCTTGCAGATCGCATATGTTTGCACATCGAATGTGGCATATGCTTGCAGATCGCATCTGGCATATGCTTGCAGATCGCATATGCTTGCAGATCGCATATGCTTGCACATCGAATGTGGCATATGCTTGCAGATCGCATATGCTTGCAGATCGCATATGCTTGCAGATCACATATGATTGCACATCGCATGTGGCATATGCTTGCATATGAAGCATTTGTGCATATGAAACACATGTGCATATGTGCATATGAAGCATATGTGCATATGTGCATATGTGCATATGTGCATATGTGCATGAAGCATATGTGCATATGTAGCATATGAAGCATATGAAGCTGCACATCGCATGTGGCATATGCTTGCATATGAAGCATTTGTGCATATGAAACACATGTGCGCATGTGCATATGAAGCATAGGTGCATATGTGCATATGTGCATATGTACGGCATATACGGCATGTACGGCGTGTACGGCATTACTGTTATGTAACAGAAGACTGCATCTGCTTGCATATCGCATATGCTTGCACATCGAATGTGGCATATGCTTGCAGATTGCATATGCTTGCAGATCGCATATGTTTGCACATCGAATGTGGCATATGCTTGCAGATCGCATCTGGCATATGCTTGCAGATCGCATCTGGCATATGCTTGCAGATCGCATATGCTTGCAGATCGCATATGCTTGCACATCGGATGTGGCATATGCTTGCAGATCGCATACGCTTGCAGATCGCATATGCTTGCAGATCGCATATGCTTGCAGATCACATATGATTGCACATCGCATGTGGCATATGCTTGCATATGAAGCATTTGTGCATATGAAACACATGTGCGCATGTGCATATGAAGCATATGTGCATATGTGCATATGTGCATATGAAGCGTGTATC